TTCCCCAAAAGAACAAAAATACCCAGCTGATCCCAGCTGCTTCTTTTCTGCTTTGTTGGTGTCTTGTGACCTCGTCGGCTCTTCATGAGCCCATCTGGGCCCTTACAGCAAAGGGCTGCAGCGCAAGTGACATGCTGCGCATGACACAGAGCGAGTGCATCAACCACTTTCATTGTTTTTTGCCCGAAGTCTGTAAACCTTCTCCGCTTTTAATATCCGTCTCCATTTTTCTCAAAGCCAGAGCCAGTTTACAGCTCATCAACTTTTCGCAGCAACTGCGCATTCATGTTGGCTTGGATTAAGAAAGGTTGTTGCAGTTGCTGAGGTTAGACGAGCAGGGATAGACAAATGGTTGGCAAAGGCTTATCGAAATCACATATTATATAGGCAGACTGCAACTATTCCACAAGGATCCACAAGGTCAACATGTCAAAATATGTTAAGGGGTATGTACAGCAAAAATCGATCTGGACAACATAAACTTCTTGGATTGAACACGAAGAGCGTTTCCTTCTTGGTTTGCGTACCAGTGGAGAAATTTGCCAGGAAATTGGCGGCAGTGCCCCTAAGTCATGCAGTAGAAACTAGCAAAAAGGCCGCAACGCTGGAATTCCAAACAGCTGGAAGCTGGCGACTCGCATCCAACAGGTTCCCTAGGGTTTGTCAGTCCATTGACAAACTGATTGAGATGTTTTCCAGACCTTGGAAACACTAGGCAACGATTCAGCAAGCAGAGCATTGTACCTCGGCTGTGTTTGCAATTCCCGCCACATTGATTTTACATTTGCAAGGGATTGGAGCCGATTCTGTCGCTTTTTCAATGCAATCAATTCTGTTTTTTCAGTGGCTTGCCAGGACCCTTTCCCCGACCCAAACGCAAACTTTGATCATCAATGCCGGTGGCCTTTGGATCCGGAAACGCAGGCGCAGCCACCCAACATTTGCCAAGTGTTTTTCATTCGATGTCCAAAGAATGCATCGATGATGTATGATGATGTATCAAGTTTCAGTATTTGCACAGCTAGTTCACACATTTGTATGTTGTGTCGTGTGATTGTTCTGTGTCAAAGCACATGCACCATGTTAAAGACCTTCAGGTGCTGATTGCAACGCAGTGGCAGCCATTACAAAACATGAGATAGTATGATAGGTGGAAACAATTTCTGCACTGACCAGCGCGTCAAACGACGGCCATGCTTTACGGGGCTCATGTACAAAGTACACTCCCAAAGTTACCGTAGTCAGCAGCATTGATCGCAAGATAGATTTGCATCCCGTTACACATAATCTAGCAGCCTAGCCGAAGACAGAGGATGCACATTTACCAAATTAGTTGGACTTACTGGACTCATCTTCTTTCCCCAGATAGCGACAGCTATGGGGTTCTTACTTCAAATATAAATGAGCTGGCTGTGCGCGTTTTCGAGACAGGGTGCCGGTGCCGGGTGCTGGTGCTGCTGGTGCTGGTGCTGTGAGCTGGCTGTGCGTTGCTTTAAATTCAGCTCTAGGGTTTAAAGGTACCTTCAAAAATTGAGGTGGGTGTACGCCCCACCCCACACTTGAAAAAGAAGCCAAGACAGTTCACCAGGTCTGGAAGTACATGTTGAAACTCAATGAAGCGCACCTCCAGCACCTTGGGCAGCTTCATAGAAACGAGGGAGAACCATTCTTGAAAAGCACCACACTGTGTGCCACACGGCTGTTTTCACATGTGAGGCACCCGTTTCATGGCACAGTCATCACTTTTTCGTCCGCCAGCTCAGTGCTCTTGGTGTGCCTTGGAAGCTACATGTTTGGAGCCGTGCGAGGCATTTTCTGCCATCACGGAATCTCCCCTTCGGATCTTTTGGAAGAGCTGCCAAGGCAGGCCAAATAGAATGAACACTTTATTTATATATATACGCTTTATACTTGATATAAACTGTGCTATAGAATACCTATTATTTGCTGCTAGGCAAGCATGCATTCAGAATCAACGGCGTTTCACAGCTATGTTTAACTCCCCCTTGGAGCTGAGAATATTTTTGAAGGGCAGTTGGTTCATGTTGGTTCTACCATATCCGAGCCTGCGAAGGCCATGGGTTGTGAAGACTTGAACGACCAGGCCATGAGTTAAGTTGAGAATGTTGATAGATCAAACGAGAAGAGCGAACGGATATGAAGCGCCTTCAAAATCTGCGATGATTACGATTGCACAAGAGAGTTTCATTGAAATATGCTGGAATTCTTCAACCCCCGACAAACCACAAAAGACGATACAACAAGGTTTCAACACATTGGGAGACGATAGGGGGCAAGCAGGTTTGACAGTGCAATAGCCGCACATAATAAAGTTCGACTGCACTTCATATGTCATTTCAATTTCAGTCTTTTGCAGCAACAAGGTGGTTTCCAACAGTAACATTTGTAGATATCCCACAAGTGTTTGCATGTATGTAAGTGGGGATGTGATGGATGTGATGTGATGTGATGTAATGAAATGTAATGCAATTATATAAATTAGACTGTATATATTATATATTATATATATTGTAATTATGCATTTGTATGCAGATATCATCAGATATGCCACATAAAAAAGAAAGAAACCTTACAACGACCTCAGCAATGAAGTTGTATAATGACCGAACACCCAGTTTAGTAACTAGGAGCAGTTCCCAAAGTACCTACAGTGCATTGGACAAAGAACCGATAACAAGGGATGACATTGACATCACATGTTTTGACAGGGGCATGTTGATTCAGGGATAACTGCTGGCCGTGTGTTGTACTTCTCGATTTGGAGCTGGACGGTGCATCCATCTGAGGGCATTATAGAAATCAAGTTTCTTGCTGTTTCTCCTTCGCTTCGGCTTTTGCTGATCGAAGTACTGCCAAGTAAAAGGTTACATTGCTAAGATGCAGCCTCCTCATGAGCAGCATGGCATCCTGGTCTGTTTTGTGCCCCTTGGTGATGATGATGGTTGCAGATGGATTTTTTTTGAACCCCTTTGCCATGATTGTTGATATGAAAGCGTCTATTTCCCAATGTCCTTTGGCAGTGGTGGCGGGTGGATCATGGCCGAGGATACCGTGTTCTTCTCAAGTTCTGGTGGCAATCGAAACTTCTTGTTCCTAGTAGCAAGAATGCTCCTAGTAGCGATGCCAGGAGCTAGTAGCGACGCCCTTGTTCCTAGTAGCTTCTTGTTCCTAGTAAGGCCAGGAGCTACTAGTAGCAGCGTCTTGCTCCTAGTAGCGATGCCAGTATTGTCCTTGTTCCTAGTAGTGAATCATTGTGCGATTTTGTCCCACCAAGTTCCTGGTCCACCAAGAAGTGTCTTGAAAAACACCGCCGCTATTGATGCCTCGATGCCACAATATTGATGCAGCCATCCAAATATTGTTTTTGTAGTGTTGCGATGCATTCGATTCAACTAGAAGGGTTGGGGCTTCAAGCCATACTGCAAAATGATGCCAGCTTCACCAACATGGCCAGCTACCTTCCAAGGTGCAAAACTCTCTCGGCTTGGTTGTGTTGTTGACAGGTTAAGTCCTTCCGACTGAGAAATCGCGTACATGCGAGAAACTCAGCATTCTGCATCAAGCCTGTTGTAGTCAGACATCGATGACATCCGGAGCTTGGGAAATGCAATGAACTCTCTGCAGTTTGTGGCTGAAGGTCCTAGTCCTTATATAAACACAGAATGTAAGTACTGTGGCAATATGTGGCAATAGAATCTGGCATTTATCATCATTTATCAAGGATAATGCTGCCGTTTCACCTAAGCATGCCTCAGACCTGCAATGTTGGCAATGCTTGCAGTGCAGAGAGAGATCGAAGGTTCCAGATTTTCCAAGGTCTATGGGCACTCATCGAGACATTTTGCACAGTATGAAGATGGAGTCTTGTGAGCCATGTCGAATCTTGAAGATACTTGATGTAATGTCGTTTTGCACCCTGATGCATGGCATCTGGAATTGAGCAGTCCCAAATGTGCACAGCCAGCAGCTGCGAACTCATGCGCTTCATGAGTTTTTTAGGTACGTAAACCACTACCATGGCACTGATGGCGGGCAATCTGAACGAGCTCCACTATTCCTGATTCATGACGGCAAGGCCAGTTGCTGCAAAAGCAATGTGCAGAGGATACAGGCAAGAGCCCAGGCCCCCAATGGCCCAAGACAGAGCGCATTTGAAGGTTCACTGCTGTTTGAAAACATCAACATTTGTTTTTGCAACATTTTCCGTGCCAGGATATTGCTAAGAGGCAAGTGGAAATCTACTCTGGCCCAACACGGTCGTAGAAGCCATGTTCGGTGAGACTCTGATTTTCAGTCCGTGCATTCTAAACTCGCGGCTGGGTTTTGAGAATGCACATTGCTGCACGCACATAACACGCATAACCACAATTTCTTTGTCATTTTGTATTTCTTTTTGGCCAGCTCCACGGCCCAGTTTGTCTGACACGGGCTTTCAGAGACAATGACCCTGCGAAGCAGTGTCATGCAGATTTTCCCGGATCCGGGCGTGTCCCAGGGACCAGGGATGAGCCAGTGGGACCAACCGCCAAAACGCGACCCAATTCATGCCGAGTCGTTCAGGTAAGCATGGCTCACTGGCTCCCAGTTTCACCAAATTCTTTAGCGTCAATTGTCTTCCGCTATGTGTTGAGTAAATATTCACTGTGTGCCAGATAATACTCAGCCATGGCTATGACCCCCCAAACTTGAGACATGCATGTTGCTTGCTACCTGTACTGATGGCTCCAGCTCGTACTTGCATGTCGTAATCGCTCAACTGACACAAGAACCAGAACCTTGTTTGCTTCTGAGGGCAGGCTCCAACCTTATTGTTGACCGGGCACAGTCAAGAGAAGCCTCAAGGGAGAAGCCAAAAAAAGAGTCGAGAGGGGCATGCCTGGCTGCCTGGCACAGTTTCTTGGTCGTCCAGGGAGTCCAGTGCCGCTGTTTTTATCTTCAGGTACTGCAACTCAAGAAACATAAACAATCATAAACATACCGTTTTTGGGCCACGTAACCAGCGGTGTAACCTCGCAGCCCACATGGTGGAGACGCGAGGCTTGGGCAGCAGTTGAAAATAGTTGAACTACGTTGAACATAATGATGCAAGGCAGCAGCCACATTTAGTATCATCTAGCATCATTTAACCAGTTCTGTGATTTTCCATTGCTATATAATGTGTGCTATGTAGGTATACACATTGCAAGGTCGTGCTGGTCTTATAGTCTTATATTGAACATATTGAAAGTCATTTCGGAGGGGTGATCGAATGCGGCTTTTATAGAGTTTTGGGTATTTATTTCACATCAGGCAAAACCATGCTTTACCTTCTTTTTTGTCTCTTCTTCATGTTATAGTGAACATGGTTTAGAGGTGTCTATGTTTCGATTTTATAGGCTTTGATGTTTGGTTGGAATGCAGTGTATAGAGGTGTATATGCGCATGATTTCATTTTATAGAGATGTGACATGATGTGAACGCATCTTGGCTGGTTCCGCAAAAGTCAGTGCATTTTTGGCTGCGTGTAGCGGCAAGCTAGCCCATGAAGACCAGGAAAAGGAAGTGACAAAACAAACACACACACACACACACTTAGGATAGGGTGTACTGAACTGAAAGCGGTGCCACACGCCGGCCTAGGTTACCAATTCCTAAGAGTACAGGTAAGGAAACCTGAAAAGGAAGTGGAGGTCCATCAAGTTCAGCGTGGCCATCAACTCTAAAGGAACCTTCGAACGACCGAGCGACAGAGTGACGTCGTCCGAAACCAAAGCCCTATGCGTGACTGCCGAGAGCAAACCGGTGCAAAGGCTGGATTTCTTGTTTTAGGTACAAGCAGGGCCCGGAGATTGGAGTAGTTATCACAGCAGGTACAGGAAACTGGCCAAGTTTCCCTTCCCACTCTCGCCCACAGCTTCGTTGCGTGTGGTAGGACGAGAGTGCCACACGCCCCTGCTACACAAGGAAAACAACTGTGAAGCTAAAACAATCCGAAAGGATCCCTATGACTCCAAGGGTTACACAACCACGCCTCCCCGAGGGGAGGCAAGATTTTTAAGCTCCGCGCCATAGGTGGCGTGAGACTCTTCGTCCCCAAGTAGTGGAAAGGCCAGGGACCTCTAGTAGCGTCAAAGAAACACCTAACACCTAGTAGGAAGGCCAGGAGCTAAGGTGCCGACAAGAGGGAGGGGTAGGGAGAGACGAGAAAAAGGAGAGAAAAGAAAGGAAGGTGTTCCCAGCTACGACGCATGCGTCCAAGGACACACCAAAGGAAGAGAGGAGAAGGTTCCCAGCTATGACAAAAGCATCCAGGGACACCCAAGGAGGGAGGAAGGAGAGAGAGAAGGAAAGAAAGAAAGAGAGAGGGAGAGAAAGGGAGAGGAGAGAAAAAAGAAAAAGGCAGGTGTTCCCAGCTACGAACAAGCGTCCAGGGACACACCAAAGAAAGAGAGGGGTGATCCTGAGTGTTGCATTCAGGAAAACCCCAGGAAGCAAAGGAAGAAAGAGGGAAGGGAAGGGGGAGAAAGGGGCTAAGGCCCCAACAGGTTCCAATGAACCTCAAAAATACTTTGACCGCTGTGGTCACCTTGTGCCCTGCCGAAGCGGCTGGCTGCTTTGACCGCTGTGGTCACGTAAAGGCATAAGCCAGCTTGGAATTCCTAAAATGAGACAAAATCGGAGTTCTGGTGGCATGAGCCAGCTACTGTCCGCTGCGGACACGTACATCTCCGGGCAGGGGAGATAACGACGTACACCCGTTCGACGGGTCCACGGGAGGCACTCTGCGGGCTCATCCCGGGTTGGCACGAGGCCAAACACACTTAGGATAGGGTGTACTGAACTGAAAGCGGTGCCACACGCCGGCCTAGGTTACCAATTCCTAAGAGTACAGGTAAGGAAACCTGAAAAGGAAGTGGAGGTCCATCAAGTTCAGCGTGGCCATCAACTCTAAAGGAACCGTCGAACGACCGAGCGACAGAGTGACGTCGTCCGAAACCAAAGCCCTATGCGTGACTGCCGAGAGCAAACCGGTGCAAAGGCTGGATTTCTTGTTTTAGGTACAAGCAGGGCCCGGAGATTGGAGTAATTATCACAGCAGGTACAGGAAACTGGCCAAGTTTCCCTTCCCACACTCGCCCACAGCTTTGTTGCGTGTGGTAGGACGAGAGTGCCACACGCCCCTGCTACACAAGGAAAACAACTGTGAAGCTAAAACAATCCGAAAGGATCCCTATGATTCCAAGGGTTACACACACACACACACTCATGAGCCAAAGATATGAACATATTTCAAACAGTCTCCAAAAGCGAAGATTTTGCCAGAGTCAACAACACTCCTGCTATAAAATCCACAACTCCTATAGAATGTGATCCCCAGCCAACAGCAAAAAACACATGTATGCAAAAATCTGATGCCAGTGCATGTTTTACATTTATACAAGCTTGGTTTCATGACCTGTGAGTGGAGGTGCACTTAGATGCATGCTTAGATGGGCCCTTGTTTTAATTTTTTTCTGTGTGGTGAGGATTGCAGGTTTATTCATTTAGTAGAGCACCCTGGCCGACAAGGGTGAGTTACGAGTTATGACTGTAAGATGCCAGCCCCAACCCCTACCCGTAATTCTCAAGGGGATATAAAGCCCATCAAAACCCACACCGGGAAACCCTGTCACTATATACTTGTATATATATATTGGTACTGTAGTATTCTAATTCTGCGGACTAGCCCTTCATCTGTTCCAATCCATCATGGCGTCATTCATTGTCCAACCTTGTTTGAAACCCATTGAGCTTCCTTGGCACTCACAGAGAGCCAGTCTGGGCCATTCTGGACTCGGTTCCGGCAATCTGCAGCCAAACCTTCGTCGAGGTAGAAAAGGTCATATCATGTCATACAGATTTTCAAACCAAGCGAAACAAAGACACCGTTTCTTCTGCATTTTGTTCTTCTATTTTAACTACAGTATGTATTTATTACGAAAGCCAGCCGATAGGCTAGGCTTGAGCTTTTAGAGCGAACGAAGTGAGTTAAGGGGGTGCGGGGGGGGGAGGATGCTGAGAGGCACATTTTGAGAGGCCGGAGCTTGGTGGGGGAGAGCGCTCCAAAGCGAGGGTCAGAAAAGCAGTGAAAATGGGGTCTGGTGATGCGAGTGATGCAATGGACGCCGAGTAGTGCATCATTAGCATCATGAAGGGCTTTAGAGGCTATTTGGACAATGGGCATTGAGCACTCGAGTGGAGACAGGGACACAAGTACAGAGCAAAAAGATTGTGTTTTGGATTGAGCCAGAGCATGGCTCACTCAAGTCCACTGATGATGACCTACACCAACTTACGTGTCGCATTTCTCTTTCACAACTTCTTTCATAATTACCAAACTTATCCCACAGCCGCCCGGCTTGCTTCTCTGCTCCCTCAATCACCATTACATACGCCCCCCCGCATCCGCGGCACCGTTGACTCGCAAGCTGCCGACCATGTGGAAAAAGAGACACTTGCCTGGCGGCTGCTGGCTTTCGTCCCCCCCTTCTCAGGTATCGGTATAATTCGTTTGACTTCATCTCAACTTGTTTCCACCCTTCATCTCATTTAGCCACCCCGCTGTGTTCGGTTCGACTTGTTATCGCGCCTGATTGCAGCCCGCAGTGGATTGAATTGAATTTCAATTTTCATATCGAGTCTCACCACCTATATTTTTGATTTCCTATCAAGTTGCTCCATAGTTGTGGCCCCCTGAGGACTTCAAAAACGCATAGCTGCACCGCCAGGTGGCTCGGCGTTGCTGGCACCAAAGGAAGATGGACGGCTTGACTTCAGGCAACAAGGGGCTACAAGTCAAACGATGACTCAGCCGTCGACGTTGACGGATGTTGGTATTTTCTCCAGCAGAGCCACTCTATAAACCTCTCTGATGTTTAGTGGTGTGTTTGTCATATGAATGTTCCGCGGAAGCAAAACACTGATGTGCGTAAGGTTGCGTAAACTGTTTGTGGGATATATATAGGAGTTGCGTAAGCTGCGTAAGCTGAAACTTTTCTATAATGACGTAAATCATTTACACTAGAGGGGGTCACTAAACTTCTGAAACATGCATGTTTGTGAGACAGAAGTATGGTCAAAGAGACATGTGTTTTACACAAAAGCTGTCTGTACCAAGTTCCGGTTGGTTGGACATATTTTCGTGTCATTGCTTGTATGCGCCACTTTGGTTCACTCAGGACATATATAGTATCAAAAGTAGACTCGTAGACCTTTCAGAATTCCAGCTTGACATGTTCCATCTGACGGTTTTGCATGGCGTGTTTCTGACAAGCTGTACAAGCAGGAGTTTAGGGGGTTATGTGTCGGAAATCCGCATAAGCTCCGCGCAAGGCCTGCGCAAGCCCCACGTAAGCTAAGTTGTTGAAGACAGTAGTAGCCCACGATGCCTCCAAAAAAGCTCTTTTCTGAACTGCAATGGCGCCAAAGACAACGCATTGTCCAAACCGTTTATGAACAGATTGTTGCTCACTGCCCAGCTGTCCAGGATGTAACCGACCTATTAGATGCAGTCTTTGCCAAGTGCCAGGCTTTTCTACCAGACATATCTGCTGGAAACGCGCTTTGTGCTCAGTTGTCGCTGTGATGCTTCCCCTTCATCATCTTCATCTTCAACTTCGTCTTCGTCCTCGACATCTTCTGCTGTAGTAGTGTAGTTGCCTCACTGCGCTTGTAAAATCGATCGCGCGTAATTACTGCTGTGGTCTGGTGCTAAAACTTGTTTGCGTAAGTGTTGCGTAAGGCCCTTCTTGCAAGAACTTCCGGCGTAAGCTGCCATTGTGGTCGCATAAGGACAGCGAAAGCAGTGGCGTAAGCAAATTCTTACGACATATAGGCAGATGCCACACTGCCGCAGTGTTTCCCTTCTGGGAGGGGTGTGCAGTCGGCAAAGTGCGCTCATGGTTGTTTGTCTAACTTTGTTTTTTTACTTGACCTTGTCTGTGCCTACGTGGGCCGTATTGTTCAGCCAGAAAGATCCCGCGGTGAAATCCTGACAAGAATACCGGTGTATGCTGATGGAGAGTAGTCGTGAATTCCTCGGCAACTGGCCAGAATTTGCCAGCTTTTGCCAAGAAGGACAATTGCCTTTCTTGGATTGCTGATTAACCTTATCACAACAACACTTGGACCGACTTAAACTGATAATCGAGCGTAACCTAGTGTACAGTAATAGATGCGTCAAAGTCCGATGTCGTTCAGCTGTTTGTTGTTTGCTTGCAACGAAGCTACAGTTAGGGATGGCTGGTCTAAGCTCTACACCTGCAACAAGTGCAAGTGAGGCGAAGTAAGCACGAGTTGTTTAATGATATAGTTGTTTCTGCTGACTAAGGACTCTCGACAACTTGGGTTTCGGTATGTTCTTCCATGTCCGTTATGCCCAGACTTTCGATATCTTAGATTCTTAGATACTGGTATCTACGGACCAGATTCTCAGATGGCTACTTGCATTTCCACTGCAATATCAGAACCGATCACGCCGATCACTATATATAATATAGTTCCACACCACATGGTGCAGCTTGTGCCTTCAAGCCGGCCCCACGGAGGGAAGCTGGTGCCAGAGACGGCATGGAACAATATGTTGGAGTGGGCCAGGCAGGTGGCACTTGAAACATCTTGAAGCCACGGACACCAACAAGGACGAGACATTTAGGGGTGCAGTGATTGTCATCACGTCACCAAACCAGGGGATCTAAAGTTGTGTTCAAAGCCAAAAGCAGACGAAAGCAAGTTCCAAGCTGCCTAGGCCAAAGCCTGGCTATTGCAGAACGAGGAGGCCAGCCACTTCAGAGCCAATTTCATTCGCATGGTTGTATCATGTTGTATCATGGGATGTGCGCAGAGTGCAGGCATTGCCTTCCCAGCGTTCTTCTTCAAAGTCACTGGACTCAAGCCGTTTGCAGAGGTGTTGGCTTGCGCGGGAATGTATGTTGCTTAGTGTTTCTACGGGATGTATTGCAATGTCGATTGTGCTCAGGCCTAGGCATCAAACACCAAGTAACAAATTACAATGAGTGCTCGTCAGAGGTTGAAGAGGCAGGTTTGTATGGATGAGTTTGATGGGTGATAGGCCAGTGTTAGTCAAAAGTCACCTTAGCCAGGAGTAGCCGCAGCCCCAAGCGTCCCGGCCACTCTTTAGCAGAGACCTTGGGCAGAAGCAGCACAATGATCCAGGTGATCGTTAAGACCTTTGAGCCTTCAAGTTGATCAAGAAACGCAGGGTCATCCACTTCTAAGGTTGTGCCAGTGGCACTGTTTGGGCTCCCAAGAGTGTTGGAGTCTGTGATATTTGTGGAGCCGCAATTAATGCAGATGTCCAGTCTTCATATTCTACAAGTTCTCAGATGCGTGAATGCAGTGTTCAGTTTTTACGAAAGCCAGTTGTTAGGCTAGGCTGGAGTTTGTTCTGCGAATGAAGTGAGTGCTGGGGAGATTGGGGAGTCTTGGGCAGGGGACGCCTAAACGTCGAGACTTGATGAATATGGATGGGTTTGAGTTTGGAAGATACTTTTTGGGGTTAGTGAATGTTGGTGATGTTGATCATTCTATTTCTGAAAGCTCGGTATGCCGAAGATGTTGGGTGGCATCCTGAGCATCACAAAGATGAAGGGTTCGTAGTATGAGGACACTGGGAAGGTGTTGTAGAGATTGTATTCTGCAGCTTGATGGTGCTCAAGTGGTCAAGTTATATAAGAAAATAGACACTTTGGATAGGGAAAGGAGGGGAGGTGAAGCGGTACAAAGTGTGGATGGCCCGGTCGGCTGAGGGTCGGCTTGTTCACGCATGTTTAAACAAAAACGATCCAACACGACAAACACATTTAGGAACAAGAAGCTACTAGGGGCTCCTGGCATCGCTACTAGGAGCAAGGACGCTACTAGGGCCTCCTGGCCTTACTACTAGGAGCAAGAAGCTACTAGGAGCAAAGGGCATCAATACAAGGGGCAAGAAGCCACTAGGGGCTCCTGGCCTTACTACTAGGAGCAAGGACGCTACTAGGGGTGCATTGCTACTAGAAGCAAGGACGCTACTAGGGGCTCCTGGCCTTACTGCTAGGAGCAAGAAGCTACTAGGAGCAAAGGGCATCGCTACTAGGGGCAAGAAGCTACTAGGTGCTCCTGGCCTTACTACTAGGAGCAAGAAGCTACTAGGAGCAAAGGGCATCGGTACTAGGGGCAAGAAGCTACTAGGAGGCTCCTGGCCATACTACTAGGAGCAAGAAGCTATTAGGAGCAAAGGGCATCGCTACTAGGGGCAAGAAGCTACCAGGGGCTCCTGGCCTTACTACTCGGAGCAAGAAGCTACTAGGAGCAAAGGGCATCGCTACTACTAGGGGCAAGAAGCTACTAGGGGCTCCTGGCCTTATTGCTAGGAGCAAGAAGCTATTAGGGGCAAGAAGCTGCTAGGGGCTCTTGGCCTTACTACTAGGAGCAAGAAGCTACTAGGACCAAAGGGCATCGCTACTAGGGGCAGGAAGCGACTAGGGGCTCCTGGCCTTACTACTGGGAGCAAGAAGCTACTAGGAGCAAAGGGCATCGCTACTAGGGGCAAGAAGCTTCTAGGGGCTCCTGGCCATACTACTAGGAGCAAGAAACTAGGGGCTCCTGGCCTTACTAGGAGCAAGAAGCTACTAGGAGCAAAGGGCATCGCTACCAGGGGCAAGAAGCTACCAGGGGCTCCTGGCCTTACTACTAGGAGCAAGAAGCTACTAGGAGCAAAGGGCATCGCTACTGGGGGCAAGAAGCTACCAGGGGCTCCTGGCCTTACTACCAGGAGCAAGAAGCTACTAGGAGCAAAGGGCATCGCTACTAGGGGCAAGAAGCTACTAGAGGCTCCTGGCCTTACTACTAGGAGCAAGAAACTACTAGGAGCAAAGGGCATCGCTACTAGGGGCAAGAAGCTACTAGGGGCTCCTGGCCTTATTGCTAGGAGCAAGAAGCTATTAGGGGCAAGAAGCTGCTAGGCGCTCTTGGGCTTACTACTTGGAGCAAGAAGCTAGGAGCAAAGGGCGTCGCTACTAGGGGAAAGAAGCTACCACGGGCTCCTGGCCTTACTACTAGGAGCAAGAAGCTACTAGGAGTAAAGGGCATCGCTACTAGGGGCAAGAAGCTACCCGGGGCTCCTGGCCTTACTACTAGGAGCAAGAAGCTACTAGGAGCAAAGGGCATCGCTACTAGGCGCAAGAAACTACTAGGGGCTCCTGGCCTTACTACTAGGAGCAAGAAGCTACTAGGAGCAAAGGGCATTGCTACTAGGGCAAGAAGCTACCAGGGGCTCCTGGCCTTACTGCTAGGAGCAAGA